CTGCGTCCCCACTTCCCTCCCCGTTAGGACCCCCAGGGTCCGGGTAGGGCCACCGTAGCCAGCACGACCTCGCCCGCCTCCTTCAAACCCCATTTCCAAGCAAGGCCACACTCGCAGGTTCGGGTGGACGGGAGCCAGGGGGCGCGCTTCAACCGGCCCAGTCGCCAGGCGCCGTGGGGCTGCTGGCCCCAGGGGTGGGTGGCGGGCAGGAAGAGAGCGGGGACCACGCCGTTTCCACGGAAAGGCCGCAAGTCCCAGGGCAGGATGTGAAACAGGGAAGCGAGCTGCCACGTCTGCGTGACCAACCGCTGCTCTGGACGGGACCGCGGCAGCCCGGCTGGGGTAGGCGGGAGACTGCCTTTCCATCTTAGCGTGCTCTCCGCCCTTATTAAGAGATGTTTCGGGACCAGCAGTTAGCGTAATGGCTATGTCGCTGGACTCCCATGTGGTCGACCGCGGTTCGCGTCCGGGACCAGGTGGCTTGAACTCACGCGGGGCGCGTGTGCGTGCGTGCCCAGGATCCCAAGAGAATGGAGAAGGGATTGTGGCATGTCCACTCCCCCTGGGGTGGGGGTGATTTCTCACTTTCTGTCTCTCTGTCTCTTTCTGGGGAGCGCACGCGCCCTATAACAAAAACCTCTCCCCCCAAAAAAGAAATGTTTCGTAATCAACTGTGGTTCGAGCCCCAGACTGCGCACCTTAGACTACACCGGGCGTGTGTGCGTGCGTTCCCAAGACCCTGAGAGGAGAACACAGAAAGATTTCGGCGTGGCCATCCCGCCGGGGGTGACTTCTCCCTCTCTGTCTCTGGAGATCACACATGCCCTGTGGCAAAAATCTTTCTAAAAAAGAAATGCTTGTGGACCAGCGATGGCATGATGGTTGCTTTGCTAGATTCCCACATGGCGGACCCTAGTTCGAGTCCCAGACCTGGCAGCTTGAAGCTCACACTGGTCAGATGTGCGTGTGTGGAGGAAAAGAGGTGGCAGCATGGCCTCCCCCAGGGGTGATTTCTCACACTCTCTCCGACGAGCACACACACCCGACAGCAAAAATCTCCAAAAAAGGAGTTTTTCCACAAGCAGGACAGACAGGCACTCCGCAGCCGGCCCAGACCACTGGCCCACGTGCGTGTCCCTGGCATGTTCAGGAAGGTTCTGGGTACAAACCCAGGCTGTTCCCCACATGGTTCCGGCGCCGCCACCTGGGCCCCTGTGTTATACCTGAGACGCAGTTTAGAAAACAGGCAGGTGAGGAAGTGCACTACGGGAGCGTGGGGGTCATCCCCGTGGCTCCGAGGTTAAGGCGGCCGGATCCCACACGGCTGACTGTATGGTTCGAGTCCCAGACCTGGCGAGGAACACACTGGGAACATATGTGTGCGCCCAAAACCCCGGCAGGAGAGAGCTGGGCTTTCTCCTCTCCCATGAGCACGTGTGCCTTCTAGGGAAAAAAGCCCTCCGAGTAGAAAACCAGGCCCACGTTGGGCTCCTTAAACCGAGGTTCCCGAGTCATCCGGCTGCTCCCACCTCCGCTGCTCACGTGCCTGGCCCCCGCGGATCAGTCACCGCACCACACCGAGGACTCAGCCATGGGCTGCTGACGGCCTTGGGGCTGATGACCTCGTCCTCAGCTGGCTTCCTGGGACAAGCTCCCACGAGCCCCCACGGTCAGGGCACGCGGACCTCCCTGGCTCCGGGTGGCTGTGCTACGTGGTATGTCTCAAGGGGCTCCTGCCCGAGGCACGTCCAAGCGTGTTTCCCTGCAGCTTCGCCAGCTTAGGGCTTTTTCACTTTTAGGGTTTTTTTGTTTTGTTCTGGATTTTTTTTTTGGAGAGATTTTTACTACGGGGCAAGTGGACTCACCAGAGACAGAAAGTGAGAAGTCACCCCCAGAGGGATGGCCACACTGCAGTCCCTTCTTCCGTCTCCGCTTGGGATTTTGGGCACGCATGTACAAGCAGCTGGCAGGTTTCAAGCCCTGGGCCTGGGACTCAAACCATAGCCAGCCATGTGGGAGTCCAGTGATGGAACCATTCTGCCATCTGCTGGTCTTTTAAAATTTTTAAGAAGTATTTATTTTAGTCATTATTTTTTCTTTTTAAAAATTATTTCATTCCTTTTTTTTTTTTTTTTTTTTAAATTAACCAGAGACCTAGAGAGAAAGGGCAAGTGAAACAGCAAGCTACCAGGTCTGGGACTCGAACTGCAATCGCCCATATGGGAATCCAGTGCTGTTAACCACACCACCTGTCTCTCATTATCATCATTTTTCAATTTGACCAGGGAGAGAGAGAGCGGGAAAGTGAGAAAAGCCACCAGGTCCAGGACTTGACCGTGGTAGGCAGTGTGGCTATAGGGTGTGTATGCTTGATGGAGAGACAGAAAGTGAGAGATCTCCCCTGAGAGGCGATGGCCGTGCCACAATCAATGCCGTCCCCATTCTTCTCTCAGGGTTTTGTTTTTTGGGGTGTTTTTGGAGAGATTTTCACTATAGGACGTGTGTGCTCGCCAGACAGACAGAGAGAGACAGAGACAGAAAGCGAGAAATCACTCCCCAGGGGGATGGCCACACCCCTTCTCCTCCATTCTCTTTTTGGGATCTTGGGCACGCACACGCACCTGGCGTGAGTTTAAGCCACTGGGCCGGGACTCGAACCGCGGTCTACTACGTGGGAGTCCAGCAACATACCCATTATGCTAACTGCTGATGCCCTTTTTTAGTTTTTTGGATTTTTTTTATTTTATTTTTTCATAGGATATGTGCTCTCGCCAGAGAGAGACAGAGAGGGGGCAAGTGAGAAATCACCCCTGGGGGATGGCCATGCTGAGATCCCTTCTCTTTCATTCCCTTCCTGGGATTTCGGGCACACACGCACATGCGCCTGGCATGCTTTTCAGGCTGCTGGGTCCAGGACTCAAACTGCAGTGGAACATGTGGGAGTCCCGCCACACACAAAACCTCGCCAACCCGACCCTGAGGCTTGGGTTTTGACATCAGTATTTCCAAAGGCATTCAGATCTGTTTAAATGGTTTTCCTGGATGCCCGCCCCTAGGCCCTTTGCGTGTGCTGCTTGCCACCTCTTCCTCCTGGAAGCCCTCAGCCTAGGACAGGTCCGGCTGTTAGAGCCCACCTCCCACCACCCCCAGGGACGGCAACTCCCTGTGTATGTGTGGGCTCTCCTTTCAACTCAGCTGAGGCCACCGTGTCCTCCTGCTCCACTCAATTAGCCCCCAAGCCTCCTCGCCCCAGCCCGAGACCACTTCCAGGAGCAACTGCATGGGGGGCTTCCTGGAGGTGGAACCTGTGGCTCTTGGAGGCTGGATGAGTGCTTTGGGACCCTCGGAGTGGCCAAAGCCCTGGTCCTCTCCCCTCCCCTCCCACTCGTGTGCAAGGTCGAGTGAGGGTCTTAGGCCTTTGGGTGCAGAGGAGGGCACTCAGCCTCCCTCTCATCAGCCAGCCTGGAGGTGGTGTCAAGCGCTGAAGGGCAGACACGCCCCACAGGGCCTGACAAAGGCCCTCTGCACTGGGGGCCAGGCCTTTGCACCCTCGGTCCTGGCAACATGTGACCGGGACAGGCCAGCCTCAGGCTCCACTTCTGCACCCCCTCTGCCCCCCAGCGATGACTACCTGTCCCTGGAGGGACCCCGCTGGGCACCGGCCATCAAGCAGGCCACGCGCTGGAAGTACACACCCATGGGGCGCGACGCAGCCGGCCAGCTCTGGTACACGGGCCTGACCAACGCGGACCCCCGGGAAGCCTGGTACAACCTGCCCCGGGCCCCCGGCAGCGCCTTCCGCGAGGCCTACGGCCGCTGGCACAGGTGCTACGGCCACCGAGAGCGCAGCCTGCCCTCGGGTGAGTGCGCGGGCCTGCCCGGGGAGGCCGGCCGCGGGAGCGGGCAGGGCAGAAATGACCTTCCTCCCCGCAGCTTACACCCAGCACTTGCGGGAGACGGCCTGGTACGACCCCATCGTCCCCGCCCAGTACGAGGGTCCCAGCACGCGCTGGGGGAGCATGCTGTGGAAAGACAGGGCCGTCCGGGGCAAGGAGTACGGTAAGGGGGCGGGGCCGGCCCAGGCCGGGGCGGGGCCAAGGTCACGGGGGCGGGGCGGGGGCGGGGCGATGTCAGGCTGGGGGCGGGACTGCGATGGGGCGGGGCCAGGACGGGGCCCAGGCCCCGAAGCCCAGGGAAACCCGACAGCCTGGAGAGTCCCTAGAGTGGCCAAGGGCGCGCAGTGACCAGGCGCTGGCCCACAGTGGTCAACAGGAACCGATTCGCGGCGGAGCCGTCCTGGCGGGCATCCGACTACGTGCCCTACCTCTCAGCACCACAACGCCCACGCTACACCACCCAGAACTACCGGCACTGGGACCTGAACCCTTACTGCCCCTCGACCAACCGGCGGTCCCCGCCTGGCTACACGCCCACTCTCGGATAAAGGCCATTCTGCCTGACCCTCCGCTGCCTCCACCTCGTCACCCCCTGCTGCCGCCGCCCAACTCTGGGACAGCTAGGCATCCAGGAAAGGGGGGTCACTAGCATGACCCAGGGCCTCCCAGGGCCAGGGCAGAGCCCGGCCACAGCCCGTGTCCACCGCCCCGACTTCCCAAACAGCAGCCCTAGAGGAAACAGTCCGCCCTGCAGGGCTCTTTATTCCTTCCTCTGTCCAGGGCAGCCCCGCTGCCCACCACGCCGGGGTCAGGCCCAGCCCCTCACCCGTGGCGGGGCCTCCTGGCAGCACCTGCGAGACCCTAGGCTGGGAGGGAGGGAGACGCGCCCTGGGGCCATGCCCAGGCTGCCCGTAGACTCCTGCGGCCCTCACTCCTGGGCACGCCGCTCACCGAGAGGGCAGGGAATGTGCTACGGTGGGGGCTGGGTCCCCGCAAAGGTGGGGCCCGCGGCTCCGGGGTATCAGCAGACCGAGCCAGGTGCCCCACCCTGGCGGGCTAAGTCCTGGATTCCTCTTCTTGCTCTGGCCCTGGGCCCCCAAAGCCAGGCTGGGATGGAGGGGGTCCGTGGAAGCGTAGGTGGTGTGGGGCTTCTCCCCGAGCCTGGACGCCGCCTGTTGCACGTGCTTCGCTGCGAAGCTGGGAGCCAGCGTCAGGGTTGGGCTCCAGGATCCCCTGCAACAGACAGCGGTGAGGACGGCATGCGGGCGGGGCCTGTCCCAGCCTTCCCGACCTTGCTTTCTCCGGGAGGAGAAATGGGGGTCTTTGACTCACAGCTTCGCAGGCGGATGGGCCAGATGAGGAGAGTGCACAGAGAGAGGGCAGCGGCCACGCCCACGCCGCCCGTCACGGCCACCATCACCCAGTGGTAGAAGCCCACGCAGGCCCTGCAGCAGAGCTCGGAGCTGGGGGCGGCAGGTGGGGTCGGGTGAGCGGCAGCTGCGGGGCCCCTCACCCCCCACACCCAGTCGCCCAGCAGCACAGCTGGCTCTGCCTGGAAAGCCCACCCGAACCCACAGCCCTGCCTTCGCCGGGACCAGTCCTGGTCCCCAGGCCTCACACCTGTCCTCCCCACAGCAGCCACCAGAGGGCGCCCGTGAGCCCCCAGTCAGGTCCTGTCCCTCCCCTGCCCACAACCCGCCCCGGTCCCTGCAGCCCACAGGGCCCTGTGCGTGGCGTGCCCTGTCCCCTCCTGCCGTCCCTCCTCCCTCTCCTCTCTCCCCTTCGCTCGCCCTGCTCCTCAGACAGGCCTCCTGCTCCTCAGCTGTTCCTCTCCCCACACTAGGCACCCCCTGCCCCAGCACGTTTGCACGGGCCACCCCTCCCTGCTGGCCTAGGATTTCCTAAAACCCACCTCACCTCCTCAGGAGGGCCCTCCTGGGCCTCCTGCCCCGGCCAGCCAGACCCCCTCTAGTGTCCTCCCACCGCCCCAGCCAGCCCCGGCTATGCGGCCACACGTGCAGGTAACTGGGGGCTGGCTCACCCCAGCTCTGTGAGGACAGGGAGCACCCACTGCACGGGCCCCAGGACATTAGGACACTGTCCTCGGCGCTGCTCAGACAGACCCAACGTCTGCTGAGCGAATAAATGAAGACCCAGCAGCCTCCTGGCGGGGAATCCCACCAGGGCGGGTCCGGACCCCAGCGGCCGGGCACAGGGCAGGCGCAGTGTACCCTGGGGGTGCACAGACGGCACTCACGGGCAGGGGTGCAGGCTCTGGATGAACATGACGGCCAGCCCGTTGGCCACTTTGTCCGAGAAGCTCATGGCACCGTACACGAAGGCTCCGCTGTGCTGGGGGGAAAGGGCAGGGTGGTGGGCGCCCCCGGCCGCCTTTGTCCCCGCCTCCCATGCCCCGCCCACTCGGCCCCGCCCCTCACCTCGGCCCCGCCCCCCAACCCTACCGTGTGGGGCCCAATGAGGTCAGCAGTCATGGCCAGCGATGTGACACGGATTGGCGA